CCTTCAGTGCACTCAAAATGGCATTCACCTCAGCCCCAATCCTATAGCTCCCCAACGACACTGCACCATACCATCTGGAGACTGATTCTTCAGACTACGCAACTAATGCAGTACTCGAACAACTGGGAGAAGACAAGCTATGGCATCCAGTCGCATACTACTCAAAGTCACTCAACGAACATGAGAGAAACTACGAGATTTATGACAAAGAGATGCTTGCAATTATTCGGGCACTTGAGGAGTATCGGCACTATCTAAAAGGACACCCGGAACCCATTGGTATTTGGTCAGACCATCTCAACCTTACATACTTCCGCCAGGCACAGAAGTTATCCTGGCATCAAGCACATTGGTCATTGTTCCTCACACGTTTCAATTTTTATACTTAGTCACTGACCTGAAAAGACAATGTTATGTGCTGATCCTTTGTCCAGGAGACCAGACCATGAGAGGGGGGTAGACAGCGACAATTCGAACCAAATGCTGTTAAAATCTGAATTTTTCGCTATCAATGTGATTCGACCTGCTCACACATCTGAAGTTGATGATGCTCAACTACTGGAAAGAATCAAGAAGGCACTCACAGATGACATGATGATCAAGGATTATTGTGCGCTTTTGACTACAGGACAGTGTGAATTTGGGAAAAACCTCGCAGAATGAAACTTTGAGCACAGACTGCTGCTCCATCACGAAAATGTTTATGTCCCCAAATATCAACAGCTACGTCTTGACCTAATAAAGCTCCACCATGACACTTTACCAGCCAGACACCCAGGCAGGTTTAAGACATTGGAGCTCATCACTCAGAATTATTGGTGGCCAGGAATGGTTAAACAATATGTACAAGGTTGTGACAAGTACTCAAGGAAAAAACCATATGGACTACTACAACCCAATGAAGTACCAGAAGGACCATGGGAGATCATCATGGTCAACCTCATCACACAACTTCCTCCAGTCATGGACTTTAAGAGAGAAAAGAAGACAGCAATACTTGTCGTCGTAGACAGACTCACAAAGCAAGCGCACTTCTATGCAACAGATGACACAGTCACCTCATCACAAGTCACTTATGTATTCTATAATGAAGTCTTCAAACTCCACAGATTACCACACCAGATTATCTCAAACAGAGGTACTCAATTTGCAAGTAAACTATTCCAGGAGTTTTGTCAGAAGTTCAGTATAAAGTCTACGATGTCTACAGCATACCACCCTCAAACAGACAGTCAGATGGAAAGGGTTAACCAGGTGTTGAAACAGTACCTTTGCATGTACTGCAACCACAGACAAAATGATTGGGTCTACTATCTGCCAACGACAGAATTTTCATACAACAACCAGACCCATGAGTTCACCGCACTTTCCCCATTCTTTGTCGAATATGGCTGACATCCAGAAATGGCACCAGACGTACATGAATCAATATGTCATCCTTCATTGAAACACTTATTCACCCACTGATGGGAGGCACAAGAACAGGCAAAGGCAGCATTGGAAGTTTCAGCTTCATGGATGAAATGGTACTTCGACGAGAAAAAGGGAGAAGTCCCATTCAAAGTCGGAGACCTAGTACTACTCAAAGGGAAAGATCTCAGAGTAAAAGTCAAATCCGTGAAGCTAGGCACACAAAACTTTGAACCTTACAAAGTACTTCAGAAGCTAGGTTCAGTCACATTTAGACTTGAGTTGCCCAAGCAAATGAAGATCCATCTGGTCTTCCATGCTAGCAAGCTGATCATGTACCATCAAGACACAGTCGCAAACTGCAAATCCCCAAAGCCCCCAGCTATAGAAATTGCAGGAGAACCAGAATTCAAAGTTGAAGAAATACTAGACTTTAAGGTCGTGAGGGGAAGGGTTCAATACCTCATCAAATGGAAAGGCTATGACCATTCCGACGATACATGGGAACCCCAAATGAATCTCACACATGCCGATGAACTTCTTCAAGAATTCCACCAACAACACCCAGATGCAGCCAAAGCACCAATCAGGGTTGTTACATTTGGTGGAAAACACTTTGAATTATTCTCATACAAAGTTGCACTGATATCCACACACAGAATCAATACGTCCGACCACCCGGATGAGTTCTTCCTATATCATAAAATGACTGACCTCACCAAATTACTGAAAAAGTCCTCAAATGAAGCAGCCAGATGGGATATTGTTGCAGCAGAGATGCATGAAATTTCCCCACATTGTCGATCTGTGGTAGAAACAGGAGTCACTATTGACCCTCTGGAACACACCTACACACGAATCGCTCCACGAAGTGGACTAGCTGCTCGAGGAATTGATGTGGGTGCAGGAGTCATTGATCCAGATTACACTGGAGAACTCAAGGTCGTACTGATCAACACAACAGATTTTGTATTCTCGGTTAAGCCAGGAGACAGGATAGCTCAATAATCTTTGAATATTATGCTGAGGGACTCCCCTCCAGAAGCTATCAACCGTTGCTAGCAATGAGAAGAGGAAATAAAGATTTTGGCTCCTCGGGACAATGAGCCTTGAGAGGGGGGGTAGTGTCACAGATTTTTGCCACAAAGTCCACACATGACTTTTCTCACACCACAGATCACGTGTTTCATCAATATCTCATGCCACTCAGCCACAGATGTGACATGTAGAGATCAGGTGATAGTTCACATCACATGTTATGGTCCAGGCTCACGAATGATACGGTCGGACCTGTCTATTCCAGGATACAATAGTGGCACCCATTTGGGAACAAAGGGAACAAGGACTATTGTTTAGGATCATTTAGACAATCAGCTCAAGGTATAGCCATTACCACGATAGGATGGATCGTCTCACCATTGTTACAGATAAAGAATGATCTTCTCACCTATTGTTCTACTTACAGATAGATCTTCCCACTTATTGTTTAGTGTATAGTTTGGTTGCTTAGGTACATAGATAGCCAATAGCATGTATCGTAGTAGTCAGCATCTGTACACGTATATAAAACCCACATGTAGAGGATGAAACCTCAGATTGTTTCTCCTCGTCTACCACTGTAGCATCCACTGAGCCTACCAGCTCCATCATATATCTTTCACCCTTCCATACACTTGCTACCCAGCTAGTAAGTGTTAGGCTCTCAAGCCACTTTAGGGATCAGGGGGATCAGGGCAGCACATTTCACGTGACTGTTCCTTTTTAGTCTTTTTGATCTCTTGTCCAGCAGTGCTTTGACAGGATGGCAGGAGGTGTCAGGTGAGGAGGTGCATTGTGCTGGAAGAGAGAAAAAGGGGCACAATGTGTGGAAAGGTGGTGGCTACAATCAGGGTAAAACTGGCAAGTCATGTGAACTAAAGGACCATGAAGGGGATGCAAGCCCACATTAGGTTAGATGACAGAAAGCCATGGTCTGATGAGCACACCAAACTGTTCTGCAGATTCAGATGCACCAAATATGAGTACTTCCATGCTGCTCACCTGTCTCCCAGGATGGAGCAAGCTCCACACTGCCGAAGGGGCCGACATATCTATATGTAGCATCCAAGAACAGATTCTGGGTGAAGAGGCTGAGTGCAGCTGTGAGAAGCCTGGCAGGAAGTTAGCAGCTTGCTAAAAGGTGGTGATGGACAGAATCTATGAATAATTAAACAAGGGCCCAGTATATGCGACTCACTGGATCAAAAAGACCTGCCTTGGCCATGGCAATGAAATCAGCATGCATGAGCATGAATCAATGAAACCCGGCATGTGAATTCTCATAGTAACCTTCAGTGATGCAGGCACCTATCAAACAGACAAGATCAGAGCAAGCCCTTGCTGACTGCTGTGAAGCTTGTGCAGACAATGACCTTAAGTGGTGGTGGGTGCGAGGTGTAGTGATGCTCAGTGTCGAGAACTGCTTTGACTGAAAAATACTCAGAGCAAGCACAGCTATCGTACTCACCTGCTTGCCTTCATGCATAAGTGATGTGGATGGCTTCTGTTCCTTCTTGGAGAGGGAAGCAGGTTGAGGTTTTCTTCAGTGGCTCTGTACTCGAAAAGCTATGGCATACAAGTGCATATATGCAACTCTGGAGTTAAACTAACATCAATATGAGTGGAATGGCATAAAAATTGAATGTATGCATATCATAAGTGTATATATGCATGTGAAACATGAGAATCATGGACAAGTAGTGAAGTAGTGATCACTGGGAGGGTGGGTGACATAGCACTGCACCAGGGGCTTGTTGATGGCTCTGTAGATAAGTTACACATCACACAGTGAGGAGAGTGGCTGTGAGCAGCAGTATTGCTGAAGAAGAGCAAAAACTCAGGGGGAGGGAGAGGTTGATGCATGCCGTGTTATAAGGCCACATACATTAAGGTTTGTCTTGGTGCTTGATCAAGCAAGATGTGTCTGTGGCATGCATGTCTGTATCAAATTTGCCTCACTAGATTTTCAAAAGTTTTATGTGCATACTGTATACCTACCAGGCCTGACATCCACATTGCAAATGAATAAAATGGTGCTCATCATATTGGTTCATGAGTGCTTGAGCTCTGAATGCTGAGCTCTGTGAATTTTAACTGAATTTATGGCTTGACATTCACCTCACATACATACTACATAGCTGTAAAATATGTCTGGACCAGCACAACCATCATACAAAAAATTATGTACACGCAATTTATGGCATTCTTTTAGCCTGCTTGACTCACTGTCATTATATCTGGCCTTATCTGTGCATACCTGTCAGATTAAGTCAATTGAGTGTCAGATCAATGGTTAACTGGCTGGTGATAATCAGACCAATGACCAGCAGATGACATGGGCAAAGGTCTGAAAATATATTCTCATGCAATGGAAAGGCATTATTATCTACCATATTTGCTCAGATCGGGCTCCGGACTTTTTGCTCATGTCTCATCACTGACACTGCCCTCTGCCCTCACCACATTTGCTGCCCTCAGGCATTCATGCTGCCAGACTGAGGGTACTCAGTGAGGGTAAAACACAGAGTCATCCTTCTTTTTCCCGTACCACCATGTCCGCTATAAGCACCCAACAGGTGACTGCCAGCGAATCGACCATGGAGGGCATAGGTGTAGAGCGAACTCCTCCGGGAGGGTCTCCATCGCCAGCGAGCGTGACGACGTCGGCCCCAGCGCCGATGCCCCTGCCCCCACCAGTTCACAATAAAATGCGTGACACCATTAGGTCTCTGCGCAACAATCTGAGCGACCTTGCTGTCGGCGTGCAGCATGTTATCGATGGCCCCTACGAGGCCGGGGCATACTCCGACGAGTTCGAGAACTGCACTGTCACGCTCTCTACCTACCTTCGCGACTTTCACAATGCTCTCATGCGCAACTCCCTCATCATCGACACCGAGGCTGGTACCCGGATCATGCACCTCTACCAGGCTCTCTTCCATCAACAGCTCGCCAGCACAGCCATCCTTCTCGACGACAACGCACTCATGGACGAGGCTCCGCGCACCTGCCCGCGCACGGAAGGCGCCCTCCCTGTCGGCATCAACATGCAGGCTGCCCTGACTAAGGCTGTTGAGGACGGCGTTCGCATGGCCACATCAGCCATCAACACGTGGCTGTCGGCTATCGAGGCCCAGCTAGTATGCGGGCGTCCGCTGCCACACCCTCCTCAGGCCCCCGAGGGACCGCGACTCCAACTGCCAGTCCGTACTGGTCGTCAACGTGCCCCCACCGCCAACTCCAGTGCTGCTGCCCCTGCAGTGCAGCCTATGATGCAGCCTGAGACGCAGGCCCCGAATGCCCCAACCATGGCACAGGTGGCTGCCCAGAACCACGAGAAGTGCTACGTCCTTCTCATTACCCCCGAGCAGCATGCCGCCATTGAGGCAGGGGGTACCATGCCCCAATGGTATGCTAAGGTCCATACACGCCTGCACGAGACCCCCGCATGGGCCAAGGTACGTTTTCTCGGTCTCCGCTTCACTGGACCAACCAAGGTCCAAGTGGTTTTCTCGCACGACTCCCCCGACTCGCTCATACGTGAGTGTCTCCGGCCCATATGACACATGTTGGGAGTCGTCCTGCGTGCTGCCTCTCTGGCGCCAGACCCGTGTGAGCATGCATCCACGCTGCAGGACTTCTGCCCTCTCGTTCCTGTTACGAAACTGTTCATCCCGAGCTGCCTGCTGCGTCATCCTGACACAGGATTGTTACTCACTGAGGAGGAAATCATGGCGGAACTACGCCGTAATGCTATGTTTTTATCTGTTCATTTCAACAGTCTACCCAGTTTCGTTGTGCCTAAGGAACATCGCGAGCAGCTCGGGAAGTCCTCTATTATCGTCTCCATTGAGGATGCCCATCGCGACTACTGTGCGCGTAACCTCCTTGGACGTGACAACCACGGTGATGCTGCCGCTTTCCTTTGGTTCTATGGCTCCCGCATCACTGTAAAGAAGTTGAAAGATCGTCCCATTTTCCGTCAGTGCACTCGTTGCTGGCGCCTCATGCATCTCGAAAGTCACTGCAAGAAGCGAGCGCCTGTGTGCCACTTCTGTGGAAAGACTGACCACACGTCCGATATGCATCGGCAGGCATGCCTTGTCTGCAATTATGAGGCTCACCTGGCTGACCAGCCTTGCGAGTCTGACCACTATTTCTGTGTGGTCTGTGGTACCAACGGTCACAGTGCCGCCGACACCACCTGCCCTGCGCAGAAAGATTACCGCATTCCCATCTCGCGCACCAACCCCTCATCATGAATATCACAACTGCTCATTTGAATGTGGCCCGGTCCAATCCGCGCATCCATGGCTTCGTTTCTTCCACTTCCTACGATATCTATTTCTTCAAGAACCATGGTGGGGGCAAATCGGCATCGATACCCCCCATGGCTCTGAGTCAGGCACTACTGTTTTTGGTCACGTCAATGTCCGGCCCTACGGCCTGGACGCCTATCATTTCCCCTCCACCTCTGTGCTGCCATGACCTCGAGCCAGCATCCTGGTTCAGCGCATGCTCTTAAACACTTATCACGTATCCATGCGTACCGACCTGGTGTCGGACCCGAATGTGGTCATCCTTCATTTTGTTTCACGCTCTGATTCCACCCATGATTTCTTCATGGTCAACTGCTATAACGAAGGCTCGCGGGCCCAACACCGCGTTCTGCCCACTCTCTATGATATCCCTTTCCCACCACGAGCGAACCTCCTTGTCACCGGAGATTTTAATCTCCACCACCCCCTATGGTCATGGACCAGATGGGCCTCCTGCTCTGCTTCCACTGCCTCCACCGCTTTCGCTGGGTGGCTAAAGCACGAGTCGCTCGAAATTCTTAATGACCTCGATCAACCCACCCACATGGTGAATGGTGACCTGCTCTCGGGCACCATCATCGATCTGGTCTGCGTGACCTCCAGTGCGCACTTTCACGTTCACAGGGTCGCTGCTACTCCCACATCCTTTGAATCTGATCACGCTCTACTAACCTCTACTCTTTCTCACGTTGCTCACCTCGTAGACGTTGACCTTGGCTTTCGAGTCGATGTGTCCAAATGGGATGACTGGAACACGTGCCTTGCCTGCGAGCTGGCGCTGTCCCCACCACCGGCCACCTATACCACCAATGACAACCTCGAGGTGGGCGCTCAGGCTCTGCTGCGAGCAATGTCCGTGGCCTGCCACGAAGTATTCCCCTGACGCACACATGCTCACCGGACCTCCCAGCTCTGGTGGAACGATGCATGCGACACTGCCCGTGCAGATGTCCAGGCGGCTCATACTCGTGAGGAGAGGCGAGAAGCCAAAGCCACACTCTCGGCCACCATCTGACAAGCTCGGAAGGACTGGACTCGGGAGGCAGTCGTGCAACTCCAGCACACCAACCCCTGGCGGCTCGCCTCCTGGACCAAAGGAGTGCGGGCACCCCCACTACCTGTCATCCGCACGGACGGGGAGACTGGCTCTCTTCCTGCTGATGCGGGTCGTCTACTCACACGTTTCTATTTTCTGGTGTCTCCGCCTTTGCCTGATCTGCCTCCTCTCTTTACCTCTACGCCTCCGGCAGCGCACCCAGACCGCCCCCTCCTTATCACTGAAGTAACTACCGCCATTGAGGCTGCATCTAACTATTCAGCACCTGGCATCTCCAGAGTGTCATGGCAGCTCCTAAAATGGGTCTGGCGGTCTGGTGCGCATCATGCTCTTTTTCTTTTTCTATCCTCTTCTTTGCACCTGGGTTACCTCCCCGCCCCACTTCGGGCTGCGGCGGTTGTGTACCTGCCCAAACCGGGCAAGGCGGATTACACCGCACCCAAGTCCCACTGACCAATAGCGCTCTTAGAAACCCTGAGCAAGGTCCTGGAAAAAGTGGTTGCTGCCCATTTCAACTTTCAAATTGGTGCTCACAATCTTGTACCCGGCTCGCAGTTTGGTGGGCGGGGCCAACACTCCGTCGTGGATGTGGGAGTCACTCTGATGCATCATGTATGCACTGCATGGGAAAACGGTTTCTCCGCTACCTTACTGTGTATGGACGTCGAAGGCTATTACAATAACATTCGCCACGATGTCCTTCACTCTGCTCTCCTTTCTTTGGGCTTTCCCACCAATAAGGTCCTTTGGACCATGTCATTCCTTTTCTCACGCACCGTGTAGCCCAAACTCAATTCTGAGCTGGGTCCATCTTACCACGTCGCTGCACTCAGCATCCCACAGGGATCGCCTCTGTCGCCCGTCCTTTCTACTATATACTCTTCCCCGCTGTATGTGAATCTTGATCTGTTCGCGCACCCCCAGCAGTCTACGGCAGGCTACGTAGACGATTTTGCCCTCCTTATTGTTTCTCCCTTGCTGAACGAGAACACTGCCATCATCCAACGCACTTTACCTAGTGTGGGCACCACGCTTCACCAGCTTGGGCTGACCATTGGTATGGCGAAAACCGAGCTTATGCACTTTACCTCCCCGAGACGCTCCCTTGACGTCAACCCCCCTGCGGGTTCAGTGGGATGGGTGGGATATAACCATTCAACCTGCTTCATATTTGCGCTGGCTCGGCATCTGGTATGACCGACGCCTAACCTTCACCCACCACATTCGAGTCATGGCAGCCAGGGCATCATCCCGCGTTGCTGCTTTCTGCATGCTTGCCAACACACAGCGAGGCATGATGGTCGCGCAAGCCCATTTGCTTTACCTTACCACCATCCTTCCCATTCTCACCTTTGGTAGCCCCGTGTGGTATAACCCGCGGGGCCCACGCTCACTTTTTCAACCTTTGCAACAGGTACAAAACGATGCACTGCAGTGGTTTATGGGAGCGTGGCGGTCTACCCCCCACCACGTCCTCAACCTAATATCCAGCGTCCTGCCGATGAAACACCAGCTCGACAAGCTCAATGGCCTTGCCGCAGCACACCTCCTCACCCTCTTGGAGTCCCATCCAGTGACCCACTGCCTGGCGGCCAACTGCGCTGTCCACCCGCCCAATTTCTCACTCCTCAACCCCACCATCCCTATCTGCCACGGCATCAGCGCAGTGGATGTGCTCGAACAAACCCTGTCCAAGTGGGCGGTGTGCCTTCTCCTCTGGTTGCAGCCGCCCTGGGATCCTGAGCATCCGTGGAACGAGAGGGTTCACATCTGCGTCCCTCCGCCTACCAAAGACGGCTCCAAGGAGTACCTACGTTCATTTTTTTTTCCTCTGTTGCACTCTTCCATTCCTCTCCCTGATGCCCTATGAGTCTTCACCGATGGCTCCCAGATCACCCAGCCCGACCCCGCCCCGTGGAACTGACGAGCAGGTGCAGGTGCGTGTATCATTCACCAGGGTGCGATAAAGTACGAGTGGGCTTGGGGCATGGGTCACCAGGCCGAGGTGTATGACGCAGAACTCTTCGCAATGGCGGCGGTCGCCAGCCACTTTGCCGGTTTTCTGGCAACCTACCCCATGATCACCCACATTTACCTCTGCGCGGACAACCGCGCTGCCCTGTCCAATGTCCTGTCGCTGCACCCACACAGTGGCCAGCCCTTTTCCCTTTGCTTTCGGGCACTTCTCGCTCCTCTCATGGAGCAATACCCACTTTTGACCATTTTGCTGCTATGGGTTCCCGGGCATACGGGTGTACTGGGTAATGAGGTGGTGGACCGGCTAGCCAAGGAAGGCACGTCCCTACCCGATAGTGTCCTACCCACCTTAACGTGGATCCGGCGCTGGGCGCACGAGCGAGCAACCACCTCCTGGCAAACCGAGTTCCGTTATACCGATCGACCCACTGCAATACAGTCCTCGTGGCCATCCCTGCCTTCCCAGACGCTCCACCCCGTTTTCACTTCTAAATATTATGAACACGACGTCGAAGCCAGGCTCACCCAAGCCTTAACGGGCTACGGCTACCTGGCCGCTTACTTCTCTTCTCAATTTGGGACGGTGGGCCCTGCTCGTCACTTCCATGGTGCACCCTGTGTATGCGATCTAACCACCCCCAGCACCCGCACCCACGTCATGCTGCGCTGCCCGAGGCATGTGCACGCAAGGCACCTGCTCTTCCGAAACCCCAAGCCCACCCTCCTGGATTTGCGTTGGCTTTGGCACCACCCCATCGGCCTTCATCGCCTCATCGCTTTCATTTCTACCACACCCGTTTTCTCCGCCGTGGCCCTCGTGCCTCTGGACCCTGGCTGATATGCCTTACCCTCACGGCACTTATGTGACCAATCCCTTTCTTTACTCATAGTCTACACGTCGACACTTCCTCGTGCAGTTTCACTCCTGTATTAGCACTCTTCCAACTGCGCATAGCGCGATATAGAAATAAATGTACAAAAAAAAAAAAAAAAAACACAGAGTAAGGCAGGCTTAGAATACTTATGGATATTGACATGATATATGTAACATGACACACAAAATCAGAAAAGGCAGTGTGAACAGCACATTTGAAAATGATATGGTGTTTAATACTTAATACATGGAACCCAGGTAGAATTTATATGTCTAAATAGATATGTGCTTGCTACTCAGACTATGTTTACAGAAATAAAAACACCTGAAGCTCTAATATTATGTGAGGAGTCAGCACTTCAGCAGTTGGCAGTGATGGCAACAATGGTGGTAACTTCAGCAATAGCAGAGATCATGTAGCTGGTGCCATCACAATGGATGATAATTGAATGAGTACTTAATTGAATGAGTACTCACAAGCTATCAGTGAGTGATGACAATAATGACAGTGAGCAGTGGCAGCAGCAACATGGCAGTGGCAATAATGCCATGGTCTGTGCAGGAGCCAATGATCTATAGGTGATTAAGCACTTGCATAGCCATTTTTAGCTACATGACAAAAATTCTGAAAACCATGTGACAATTTCTGCAGCCTGAGAGAAATTTTTGGACCCCCTAAAAGAAATTTTCTGATAGATAATTTCTTGACTATGTTGCCCACCATACGGTTGCACCTCAAGGAAAGTATCAATTTAGGGTATGAGAAATGAGTGAAGAACTTCAGATTTTCTTTAACTTTTTCCTGCCATGACATTTTATCATTTTTTGAGTTAATATAGGCAGCTAGATGCAAATTAATGCCTAGAAAAGGTGCAATATGAGCTCTTTTCAATCCTTTCTCCAAAATTATTCACTTGACGTGAAAGGCTAAACTATTGAGTTCATTTCTAAACCCTTCTCTGTAAATAGAATTGGTACTTTCTTTGAGATGTTGGTGCAGTCTGAGTTTTCAGCCTTCAAGGTGAATTGATTGAC